CGATGCGGGCAGCGCAGGACCGGTCGTTGTGAAAATCCTTGAGGGAGGCCTTTGTCCAGCAGTGGCAGTGGAGTGGACAGAATTCTGTTGGAAATTGATTTATACTAGCAACCGCCCGCGACTTCGTGCGCGTGGATCCCGTTTTACCTATTTAAAAGGGTTGAATTTTACAAAATCCCATCTTAGTGAGCATCTACGTTCTAAAAGGAACAACCCCCATGCAAAATTTGAGACTCATAGCACTTGTAGTTTCTGAGATTACGTGATGAGTGAGTCAGTCAGTGACCTTTCGCTTTTAATAGAAGTGATTTCTCTCATAATTATTTAGAAAGAAAGAAAAAAATCTTATACAAATAGTGGGATATAATAATCTTCATAGAAATATAATGATAATAATTAATGATTTATATTCTAAGCTATTCATAATTTCGTGTTAAATTATTATAACTTTGTTAATTTGGCCAATTTGTATAACAATGTTTTAGCTCGTTAATAAATTATTGAGTGAAAGGAATAAAAAATAGTATTAATAATATTATAATATTTAATTGATGCCACTCGATACAAATCCATGTCACTCGTGCAATAAGTACGATGTTAACATGGTCATATAAATGGTATGGTGAAGTCAGAAAATTTATATCTTCATTTTAATTATTTTATTTCTCATAGAAATCGTATTTTATAAAATTTATTTTGTATGAAAATTAAAAAAATAAAATGATGATATCAAATTTCTGACTTCACCATACCATTTATATGCCCATGTTAACATGGGCTAGTGTCGGCTCATATACCCATTTACCTAACACCCTGTATTTCTTGATCTTTTTAGCTGGGATTTGCTATTAATAAAATAATAATGATGTTATCACACTATCTATAATAATGTTAAGTAGGTACGATATCAAACATAAGTAATCTATATTTATCATAGATTGGAATGCGCTAATCTTACTAAGGCACTTACTAAAATAATAAAGTCTGGGTGATGGATGCTTTGCCATCTTACGTAGTAAGTACCCCACACGATGCGGTGAAGGTTGTCTGGAAAAGATCACTTGCTAACGATAAGACCGCCTAAATTGTGCGGTTTCGATTTTGTAATAGTTCTACAGGGTGGAAACGTTAAGTGATCTCAATCGATTATTTCTAAACTGTATAAGATATCGAAAAACTGATTACTGATCCTGAAAGTGCTTCACGAGTTCTTTCAAATGATATCAGTAATAGATTACAGAATTAATAGGATCTATCCGAAAATTCAATGTTTTCAGCCTCCATACTAAATGTATGCTACTATGCCAGCCACACAATAATTAGAAGTGTTAATTTTTTTATTTTAAATAATAAACACTTAAAATTAACTCGTAAATTTCATTCTAATTTAAAATTATTCATTAATAATATTTATTTTAGGCTTTACTTGCTATAATATTATCAAGACATGACTGTCATGACTGTGGCTGTACTAAATGTATGGAAGCTGAAAACATTGAATTTTCGGATAGATCCAGTTTATTTTATAAATTGTTATTGGTACCTCTGGATAGAGCTCGTGAAGCACTTTCAGGATCAGTTACCATTTTTTGGATATCTTGTATAGTTTTTAATATTATGTGGTTTTACTAAATGTATGGATGCTGAAAACATTGAATTTTCAGATAGATCCAGTTTATTTTGTAACCTATTATTGGTACCGTTGGATAGAGCTCGTGAAGCACTTTTAGGATCAGTAATCAGTTTTTGGATATATTGTATAGTTTAGAAATAATCGAGTGAGATCACTTATCGTTTCCACCCTGTATATTAGTAATAAATTATTTTTTAAAGAACTCTATTGAAATGTAATTGTAAATACTTCTGTTAACGAAAGTGGCAATCGTTCTGCCATATTTGCAGCAGAAATTGATAATGGTGGAAGTGGTGGTGGCACTGGTGGCAAACAACGTAGTATATGACGCTCCCAGCTCGATACACAGATGGTTTCAAGAAAATAGCTGACAGAGTTACAAAAGACGATTGCTGATTATTTTGATAGTGCTTAATTAGTTATTTTTTAAATTAAAATACCTTTTGCAAAAGTTCTTTAGAGTTAGCGCCGTGTACAAAGTGTGTGTAATAGTGTGTATCAAAATCAAAAATATTTATTCAGTTTAGGGTTCTTACACACGAACAGCATTTTGCTGTCGACGCATGTAACTGCAGTCGACGTCAGGGTTCTTACACACGAACAGCATTTTGCTGTCGACGCATGTAACTGCAGTCGACGTCAGAAGGCGACGGCTAGCTGTCGACATGCTGCCGACGTGCTGTCGACGCGTTCGCGGCTGCCGCCGGCAGGTGCCGACAGCTAGCCGCCTCCGCCATTTTGAAGGTCAACTGTCAGTAGTCCAGGAGCTTACACGCACACCTAATGAGTTCCGAACAAATTGATTCGGAATTGCTAAAAAATTTGTGCTGTCAAAAACAATGAAATAATATGGAACTCGAATTTAGAAGGCTACCATAATAAAACATTAAAAAATAGAGCATGGGCGTCGGTGTGTGTAGTCTCGTTATCTATTCAACAACATTTCTTAAACCCACAATGACCGGTTCTTTCTCTTTCGTCGACAACGACGGAGTAAATGCAACAACAGTGTTTCTTCAATGAAATCCATTTTCAACTGGCTGGCTCCTGTACAAAGACGTACGCCGACACGGTCGTCGCAGCAAGCTGTCGACGTGTCGACAGCTTGCTCCGGGCACGTCGGCGGCTAGCTGCCGACAAATGACGGCGACTGCGGTCGCCTTTGCTGTCGTCAATGTGCTGCTCGTGTGTAAGAGCTCTTAGACCACAAGTGGCACTTATGAACGTCAAAATGTAGTAAAAAATAAAAAAGAAAAGGTAGCCCTTATCTATCAGCAAAGGCTATTGTCATATCATAATATTTTAAAACACTCCCAAAACATTATATTTCATATCTATTAGACTCGGTAGTCATTTAATTCGCTGTAAGTACCGCCCAGCCCACTTGAGCCCACGTCAATAAAATATGACCCACCTTACCCTGTGTTCGCCTAAATATTTAACGAGTTTAACTACACACAGACAGTGCTTATACAGGGTGTTTGTGAGACAACACTTTCAACTACCGGATTTCTGGAAAGAATTTCAACTATTGAAGATTAATCAATAAATATTTTCTTTCAATAGATACTTTTTCCCGTTGTGGAAGAAGTTTTATGCAATCAGCCCCATAAATCGATGGCTCCTACGTATAAGGGCGAAACTGCCGCTTACGCCTTTTTCCAATTATTTAAGCAATGATTTCACTTTGCTCTAATCTATAACATCAGTAAGAAAAAAATTTTTTTTTTCCATTAGATACAAAATAAAATTTTAGGCAAATAGGCGTATGTGCAAAACTACGCCACGTATAAAGCCCAATCATACGATTTGTCAATCTATACGAGTAGTTGCTTACATAAACATATATTTTTTATAATCCAAATCTTAAATAAAGCCATGCAAATATTTAGCAAATTGTTTTATTTATAAATTATGACACATTATATAGTTATTTAATTTTTAGCGTTAAGAGTCGCATCTCAAACTAATTTGAAAATTATAAATAACTTGAAAAAATCGAACTGCCTAAGGCATCGTGGGTTCAATTCCCGCCTTAGGCAATTCGATTTTTTCAAGTTATTTATATTTTTTAAAAATATGACACATTATGTTAAAAGACCTAACTAAATCTCGAGCACAGTATATGGGCGTATTTGCGTTAAAACGTAAAACGGTACATTAAACGACTTTTTCTAACTGATTTATTATTGATATAGCACATGATAACAATTAAAATAATTACATGCATAAATAAAGAGAGTAATCGCTTAAAATATTATATTTACGTTGTCATTTAAGTCTCTTTACGTTGAACAATATACATGAAATTATAGAAATATGCCGACGTAAAAGGGCAATGCGTAAAATCTCAAAATATATAAGAAAAATATAAAAATTGATAACAGCAGTAGCAAAAGCATTACATGTTAAGGCTAAATGTGAAATTTCATTAAATTCGTTTTAGTAGATCAGAAGATATGACCCAAAAATATGGTTCTGGCCACTAAAATGGCTCTCCTGTAAAATTTACTTTTTTCACTTACGCCAGTATACGTAGGAGCCATCGAAATAACTCAAAGGCCCATTGAACACAGGCTTAGAACACCGCTTAGAACTTGATTCAATATGTCGTAGATTCTTTCCTGTGATTGAAAGATAGAAAAAAATATTTATTTGGTATTAAAAATAGAATGATAAATTACAAATTAACAAACCTAATTATTGATTGATTTAAATATTGAAATACATTACAACCGCCTCAAAATTATCGTTTAAGCGTTTTTCTTTACCTAGAAAAGACATTACTTAGGTCTAACATATTTTGTACAAAAATTATAAATGTAGACAGTAGCAATGTCAGGTTTAATTTTATTTGCTTACATCCTGTATTATGTTTAACACTTGTCCCTCTCTGACCCTTCGCTACCTGTAAAGGGTATTATAAAAATAGCCTCTAACCACGCGCTTCAGCTTTTATAGGTCAGCTAGAGTTAATTTACAGTGTTACTGAAAATGACTAGCTTTCCGCCCGCGGCTTAGCTTGCGTAAAAAAGGGTTTTCCCGGAAATTATTCGATTTTTTCTCGCCGTAAAAACTATCCTTGGACTTCAACAAACATTGGAAAAAGAATTGGTAAAATTGGTCCAGGCGTTGTTGAGTTGCGATTTTGCGATTCATTATTATTATATTATAGAAGATTAGTAAAATACAGCGTGCCACGTCTACCCACAAGGTGGACCGACAACCACATAAAGGTAGCCGGAAGGCGCTGGATGCAGGCCGCTACCAACCGGCCATTTTGGAAATCATTGAGGCCTATGTTCAGTAGTGGACTCTATAGTCCCCAAACCCCCAAATACTAACAATAGCCCTCTCTTTCTTCCAGAGGAGGCAGGATGACGGAAGCGCCAGTAGTGACGGTGGAGCAAGGACAGCTGCAGGGCAGGGTGGCGGCCAGTCCTTCCGGCAAGGCGTACTACAGTTTCCAGGGGATACCGTATGCCAAACCGCCCCTTGGCTCGCTGAGGTTTAAGGTCAGTTTACTATGTCATTTTTTCTAGAGATCCTTTAAGCCAAACTGCTCTTTACTTACTAACGTGTAAGGTGTTTGCTATGGCATAAAACCAGTGACAGCTGCAGGGCAATAGATAGCCGCCAGCCCCTATGGCAAGGCTTACTATAGCGTCCAGGGGATACCGTACGCCAAACCGCCCCTTGGCTCGCTGAGGTTTAAGGTCAGTTTACTATGTCATTTTTTCTAGAGATCCTTTAAGCCAAACTGCTCTTTACTTACTAACGTGTAAGGTCTTTGCTATGGCATAAAACCAGTGACAGCTGCAGGGCAATAGATAGCCGCCAGCCCCTATGGCAAGGCGTACTATAGCGTCCAGGGGATACCGTACGCCAAACTGCCCCTTGGCTCGCTGAGGTTTAAGGTCAGTTTGCTATGACATATTTTCCCAGATATCCCTTTCACCGACACTAAATTTCCCAGGGGATACCGTACGCCAAACTGCCCCTTGGCTCGCTAAGGTTTAAGGTCATTTTGGCTATGATATAAATATTTTCGACTAGCAATGCTTTCGTATGGGGCAGAGAAATCCTCGACTACATACCGAAAGATCCGCGATCCTACGTCTTCCGGTATGGTCTATTCCACTTTGATCACCTGGATTTGATCAAAGTGGACTCGGCGACACTTTGGTCTCCTTTTATCACCCATGGATAAGAAGTCCACTTTGATAACCTAGGTGATCTTACCCATTGGTGATCAAAGGATACCAAATTGTCGCCTGGAGTCCACTTTGAGTACCTGGGTGATCAAATCCAGGTGACCAAAGTGATGAAGTGGAATAGATCTCCGGTATTACTAGGAGGCTTGGCAGGTATTCGGTGAACTGACTATCTACTAGTGAATATCGGGAGAAGCACCAGCCGGTATAGGATGCGCGCCTTGAAAATATCAAATCGACGATTTTCGACGACAAATGTATGGGCTTGTCGTGGAAATGAAAAATGAATCGATCGAAGCCTATCGTGGCGCGCATCCTAGGCCTACTGGATGCTGGTAGCCCGTTCGTTGTGGAAATCCTTGGGGGAGGCCTTTGCCCAGCAAAATCAAAATCAAAAATATTTATTCAGTTTAGACCACAAGTGGCACTTATGAACGTCAAAATATAGCAAATAATAAAAAAAAGAAAAGGAAGCCCTTATGGGGCACTTTACATGTCTCCTTATCTTTTGGGCGCTACCAGCGCTTCGAGACAAACATATGGCAAGTGCTGAGAAGAAACGCCGGAACAAACTCAGTCACCACTATGCTGAAGTGAAGTGAAGTGAAGCTAACCTGGTACACATACAGTAAAGTGAAATTCAGTTACATAACCGCTGAATGTTGGATGCTGTTACCCTTATCAGTTATCAACGTTATCAGTCCGTTTAGATTACACTTATCATTGATGCAGGTTTTATATCACATGTATGTTCAGATCTGCAAATACAAATGAGATCATTTTGTTTTGCGTCATTAAAATGATGGTTATTTTTAGTAAAAATAATCCTAAGCAGATTCTATTGCTGCATTATACTTAGTACGTAGTTACGTACACGTAGAACTGACGGTCGATGCGGCAACAAAGTTCAGGAATGTAGGCCACGTATCGGAAAACGCAGCGTGAGCCGTCCACCTACAAGGTGGATAGACGATCTCATAAAGGTAGCAGGAAGGCGCTGGATTCAGGCTTCTACCAAATTGGTCAATATGGAAATCATTGGGGGAGGCCTATGTTCAGCAGTGGACGTCCTGTGGCTGAAATGATGATGATGATGACTATTCGTTAACATATTTTATTTATGATCTCCTAGCATTTACTTACAAAGTTCGATCGTTCGTTGTTGTGACTCCTTAAGTGTATATTTAAAACACTCAAATCATACCCATTTTTATTTTCCAGGCGCCACAACCAGCGGAATCCTGGGACGGAATCCGCGACGCCACCTCCGAAGGCAACGTCAGCCCCCAAGTAGACCCCTTAATACACAAAGGATATGTCGGCGACGAGAACTGCTTGTACCTTAACGTATATACCCCCAACCTAGATGGTGCATTCCTTCCTGTAATGATTTATATCCACGGTGGGGGATTCAAGAACGGTTCTGGCAGTTCTAGTTTGTATGGCGGAGATTTCCTCGTCGAAAAGGACGTTGTGGTTGTCACAATAAACTACAGACTCGGCGCGTTAGGTTTCCTCGCGCTTAACACTCCTGAAGTTCCAGGAAACGCTGGTCTGAAAGATATAGTCCAAGCTATCAGATGGGTGAAGGACAACATACACAATTTCGGGGGCAACTCCGGCAATTTGACGCTGTTCGGTGAAAGCGCTGGTGGTATGGCTACATCGGTTTTAACAGCGAGTCCACTGACTAAAAATCTGATCAGCAAAGCTATCATACAGTCTGGAACTGCTCTCAGTAGCATGGCGTATCAGAAGAACCCGATTGAGAACGCGCGGCAGTTGGTCAAAGCTTTAGGAAGCGACGCGGAAGACGTGGATGAAATCCTGGACTTCTTAACAGCAACTCCTGCTAAAGAAATCGTGGAAGCTACTGAGAAGCTGTACCCCCTTGAGACTTTACTCGAAAGTGGTTCTCTCGGGTTTGGAATTATGGTCGAGAAGGAATTCCCCGATGTGGAAGCAGTATTGACGGAATCGTTCTACGAATTACTGGTCTCTGGGAGAGTAGCTGAAATACCTATCATGATAGGTTCCACAACTCTCGAATTTACGTTTGAGAGGACGTCTGACGATTTACAGATCTTCATACCCCAAGAATTGCACGTGGAAAGAAATTCGGACGAAGCTTTGCAAATTACGAACGAAATCAAACGTTTGTATTTCAAAGGCAGCCACACGGATGTGGAAAGCTTGAAGGAATATTTCGAGCTGTTGTCAGACAAGTTGCTGAATGTAGACACCCACAGATACGTGAAGTACCTTGTCCAGGTGTCGAAGAAACCGATTTACTATTACAAGTTCGATTACGTTGGGGAGTTGAATTTGACGAAGAAGTTATTGGCCAGTTTGGGGTTGAACCATGCTGGGCATACGGACGATCTTGGATATTTGTTTTCCAACGACCTTCTGAAGGACGTGGAGCCTACTACTCAGGATGTGAAGATGAGAGAGAGAATGCTGCGTCTTTGGACTAATTTCGCCAAGTCTGGGTGAGTGTCTGAATATCTTCAGTTATTTTAATAGGAATGTTTCCGGGGTAAAAAAGCAAGAGTTTTAATTAGTCCATCAGTTAGCTTATCAATAACTACTCGACACATATTTTTCACTTTTTTAAACCAATGAAAATGTAAAGAGAACGCGTGCCAAAGTTCTAAAGAAAAGGCCCGTGACGTCAATAAGTGCGTAAAAGTGCAGCACTTTGTGACGTCGCGCGGAACTTCAACGCACTATAACTTTGTAATTATTTGTTTGATTAACAATTAAAAATATATGTGTCCAATATTTTATTATATTAAAATTGACGGACTAAAAAAATGTTTTTAGGAAACTAGCCTATTGATAGATTAGTGGGCATCCTAGTTTCCCATCCCAGCTTTGCACTGGAGGGTAGTCGAATCTTAACTTCGAACCCGACCTATGTTCTTCTGATTAATTTCTTTGCGGGTCCAATGACAGTTTCCCCGGGACAAACTTGACCTTCACTGGTTGGGTTTTTATTGGCGGTCAAGCTGTAGATCCTGGATATACAGGAGATAATTTATGAGCTGGTAAAACATAATTCTCTCGTAGATTTTTCATGGGAAAGGAGACTATGACGTCAACAGGCTGTGAACTAAATTATTTTATCAATTTTAATATTTACTAAATATAATAAAAGGACAATGTTCGTTCTCCATACATTGTTCGCCTAAAGAACCAACAATTTTGACATATTACTACCCGAAAGCGAAATAATACGATTCTGTGTGTAAGAACAATGATTCCTGATGGACACTTGCCATAAAATTAATGATTAAGAATATTAAATCACAGCGATTTTATAATATGTCGTTTATGACAACATGGCGTCTAATGTATTGTGTGAATGTATGAACACCGATTCGCGAAAAATGTTTTGTATTGTCGTCACGCCCAGGGCCGGATTAACCATCTCGGGGCCCCTAGGCACAGCTCGTTTTGGGCCCCCCTTTTTTTGTCGCGGAGGAAATGCTTTGCGTACCGTCACCACTGCCGAAGGACAGGGTGGTGTGTGGGACTCCGGGCGCCCTAATAAGGGAAAAGGACGGGGTATACCTACTAAAACCGCCGCGGCGTTCCGTCGTAGCCCGAATGGGGGTGTCGCGAGTATCCGGCCGTAGCCTTAGACTTCCGCGACACGACGCTACAGCGACAGCTCGCCTACACGGCGGACCTTTCACGCCCCCCTTGTGGGGGTTCGACGGGAATGCCCGAAACGCCAAGCCGTTCCCATCAGACGAAGGTGACAAGGGTGCCCCCGCACCCCCGGCCTGCTGGCCGCCACCTGGGGGCAGAGTAGAACGGTCGTACAACTGCCTTCTCCGGCCCCTTCTCCGTCTGCGGAGCGATGGGGCGAGAGGATCGTTCTCCCGCTCGCGCTCCGCTGCCTTCTTCTGAAGGATGACCTCTTCGCAAAAGGAGGCGACCACCTTCCAGCATCCTTCACTTCCCAACATGGCGATGACCAGGCTCGGAAGCGAAAGATCCCGGCCCACGACCGCAGTGAGGACACGGCGCTGCTCCTCCCAGCCTGTGCAGACCGCGAGGGTGTGCTGCACCGTGTCATCCGCCGCGCCGCATTTGTGGCACGTACGGGGATTCCTGTCGCCCGATTCTATGCAGGTACGAACCGAAGCAGCCATGCCCGGTCAGCACCTGCACCAGACGGAACGTGAGGAACCCGTGCGGTCGTACCATCCAGAACAGGACCAATGGCGGCCAAACTGCGCGCGAGTCATGTCTTCGTGACGGCGCCGCACCGCTCCGGGGCCGGGCGCTTTCCACGTGCCTTCTGGTCTGCCATCCAGTGATAGATGACAGACAAGACCCCAACTTCTAGCTCCCAAGGAGGAGTACCAGTGAGGACTTACGCCGCAGCGTGCCCTACCGTGCGGTAGGTCCTTGCGACCCTCTGCGCTATGGCCCGCTGGGGTCTGCGCAGAAGGGCAGTATTCTCCCTCTTGTTGAGTGCGTCCGCCCAGACTGGGGCGCCATACAGCGCCATGCTCCTCAGAACGCCGGCATAAAGTCGACGACACCTCGTTTGTGGCCCTCCCAAATTCGGGAGGAGCCAACTCATTGCGCTGGCTGCCTAGTGGAGGCGTGGCGCTAGCCCGTTGAAGTGCGGGCTAAAATGCCACCTCCCGTCAAGCGTGAGGCCCAGATATTTCATTTGGCCTTTGACGTCAATCCTAACGTCCTCAACGCGTCGGAAGGGTCGCGCTGGCCCCGGAAAGAAGAGGGCCTCAGTCTACTCCAGCGCGACTTTCAGGCCGAGGCGTCGTATTCTGCGAGCTACTAATGTGCCGCCCGCCGACGCCAGCCGAGCCGCGGCCCCAAATGTCTTCTTCGGGCAGTGACCAGAGTGTCATCCGCATAGCATGTGACACTCATGCCCGCGAGAAGGACGCCCCGGAGGAGCCAGTTGAAGCCTAGGTTCCACAAGAGTGGACCGAGCACCGAACCTTGCGGAACCCCGCTGGCTACGCCGCGCCGTTTGAGCTGGCCGTCTCTGTTAACATACAGGACTTCGCGGTCCCGTAAGTAATCGGCCAGCAGCGCTCAAAGGTACTGAGGCACTCTGTGATGTTGAAATGCCTAGAGTATGGTGGGATGAGGGATGGTATTGAAAGCGTTGGCTATATCGAATGATACAGCCAACACACCCTCAGCCCTCTCCCTAGCCTCCACAGTGAGGCTTTTTAGCCTCTGAAGGGCGTCGACCGTCGCACTATGAACCAAAAGCCCAATCTAGCTGGACAAAAAGGGTCATCGCATATCTTTCATTCGTTTAGCAAAAACGATAGCTTAATAACCAGAGGTAACGATTCAGCCATTATTTTTAGCAACTATCCTCTGTTAATTTAGTAATTTTAAGACGAACTTGAACAAGTGAGTATTTTACGATCAAATTATTCACTTTCTTGAGGTTGATATATCAGTGTCTCCTGATTAATTCTAATACAATTGTGAAAATTTTTGTTATGGATCGTGAAGTAGAAGGTACGTGTTACATATTAAACCAAAAAAATATTCCTAAAGCCTATTAATTAATTAAGATACATGTGGAAATAAAATGAAAATTCGTAATTTTTCACGTTTTTCTGTATTTGTGAGACCAGGAACTACATGTCCCTTCATGTCCCCGGGCTGGATTTTTTATATGAAGTAGCCACATAATATGTGAGCTTCAAAAAATAGCAGGTTGTAGACAGCACACTGAAGCACAACTTTGATTTTTTTGCAGAAAACGTAGTGGCGGTGACCAGAAGCGAGTTTTATTACGAATGGTTAAAACACACAAAAACAATACAATTTCAGGACTATTCGATTATTTCTCAGCTAGATAAGACTAAAAAGAGGTTATGGAGTGTTGTTTAAGAAACATTTTTATAATGTTTCTTAAACAACACTCCATAACGAATTTAGTCAGATTAGCTCAAAATTAGGCAAAAAATGGGTTCAGATGGGTAAAATTCGCGACGATTTTGTGACAAGGCCTATTGGTGTTGAATGGCTGAATGGTGAAAACTTCAAATTGATACACGTATTTTGCATCCATCTACGTCATACTCAGAAAGTCAATCTACTACTTCAAGTCCTGGTCGCCCAAAGATTGACTTCGTCCAAGCCGCGTTCAAAACAAAAAGAAGACGCAACGAGTTGACGATTTATTTAAGTCCTGTAGTACCTACTGAGGATTTGGTAATGGCCGGCCAGGTATTGTTATAGTTTTATCTAATTTCCATTATTTATTAACCAGCTGTGCTCGCGTCTTTGTATGCGTAAAAATAGTTTGAATAATACTTCCCGTTTTTGCAAAATTTTTCTTTACTGCTCCACCCCTATTGGCTATAGGGTGTTATATCGACTAATGCCTTTCTTGATAAATGGGCTATCCAATACAAAAATAATTTTTCAAATCGGGCTGTAGCTTAGTTCCTGAAATTAGCGCGTTTAACCAAACAATCAAGGTCTTCAGCTTTGTAGGTAATTTTCAGTATAGAAAGCCACCTTTAAATGTACTTAAACTTAGGTTTAGCATTATACCTTAGTACTTTTACAAAACTAATGCAAATAATAATATGTTGAAATATCAAGCACCAGTATAAAAAAACAATAATTTACCTTAATTAACAAATCCAGTTTAACTAGACCTCCAAACACGTACAAAATGTTTGATATAGAGGGTCAGCTTATGCTGGTTTTTAGTTTTATCATTATTAAAAGCTTTCTGTTCATTTTTTTAAACATATTATATCAAAGTAAGAGTTTTTAAAGCGTTTAGTACCTATTCCAAGCCTTAAATAATTTTGTCCAGCTAGTTTGGCCTTTTGGTTCACAGTGCGTCGACCTGTCATGTAAACCAAAGCAGTAATGCCAACGTCTCGAAAATTAATTAGGTTCCACAATATCGAAATATGACGATTGAATGTGTAAACCAAAATAAGGCGAAGTTTTGAGGTGGTTTGAGTTTTGTTGCATAAAAATAATCTTTAACATTTATTTTTTTTAATTTTTTTATCGGGAGTGCTGGGCCCCTGGTCATAGTGGGCCCCTGGCCATAGTGGGCCCCTAGGCACTGGCCTAAAGTGCCTTATGGATAATACGGCACTGGTCACGCCGAGTCGCAGCCAAATAGTANTTCGATTCGTGTTAGAGCGGGAAGGCACGAGAAACCGGCCGCCGGCGCACCGCGACACTTTGCTCGAGCGCTTGGCTGTGACGGACGTTCTCTCGGTTCATGGACTGTGATATTTGTGACCTAGATCATTATTTCTGCCATAGGCATATTTCTTTATTACGTTAATTTGATTTGTGGAATTATTGTTTTCGGTTATTTTATAAATCGATATTTGCTGGTGCCGCTCATTACTTTTAAAAAAGCACTCTCACCTCTGATCCTTAAGACTATTGAAAATTACTTTTTCAATTATTTTAGAGAATATCGGTATTAGGGCTACAGGTCTATAATTATTCATGTCTATTTTATTGTCTTTTTTAAAGAGAGGCTTAATGACCGATATCTTCAATTCGTTAGGAAAGTATCCATTCTGAATGCATAAATTTATAACGTGACTAAGTACGGATGCAATAGCTGGTGCAATATCTTTTTAGCTTTTAACGCAAATCTAGTCTTCAAAGCAGTTTAATCGATTTATTTTATTTTCAAAATCGATATTTTATTGTCTATGATGGCCGCAGGAACATCACTATACATGGACTCCCAGCAATAAAGTACGGTAATGCCTCGTACAGATTTTATCGGCAAAAATTATGGAACTTGATAGGTTTTAGACCATGCCACGCACCAAAACGTCCGGAAGTTGTAATAGTATTATAGAATAAACGTTAAAAGACTTATTTATTTAATTTTTCAATGCTTAAGTGTCCATTAGAATGAAAGGGTGCTTAATGTATTAAAAAAAATAGAAAATAATTATGATGGGTTAATGTTTTTGGGCGGTTTTTTAGGCGGTTTCTGACAATGTCCTTTTACAGCCAATTGTAAACTAACTAAAGTGTATTGCCTAATTTTGTCTTATCTGAGTTTTTTTTATCGATCATTGATCCACTTCTCAAAGAACTTGACTCTGTTATCGAGTACCTAGTATTGACTGTAACAAATATTAAGTGTATCAGTGATATCACTAAGTATACAGTCAGCGTCAAATAATTCGTGACACCCAAAGTGGAAAAAGTTGATAACACAACCTTATTCGAATTGTAAAGATCTCTTGCGAACTTATTGGCTACTTTGGGTGTCACGAACTATTTAAAGCTGACTGTACATGAGAGCTATACCTACTATTTGTTGAAAATTAACGCCTATTGCAGTAACTTAATATTTCGCGTGTGTAGCTTGCTTGATGTTTCATCGTCTGTAGATTAAAGAGTAACATTTTAAATGGAGTTAGGTTTCTAAATTCATTCTAATTTTATTCTATTACCTTATTTGTCGTAACGCCACAGTACTAGCTCTTATTTACAAGCTGTTATTTATGTAATAAACAAAACCATTCCTGGCTTTCTGGAACTCTTAACCCAAGATCTTTACTTGGAAGTCTGTCGAAAATATCACTTACTTATTAGAAAATCTTCTCCATTCCAGAAATCCCACACCTGACGAGAACCATTACATCACCGTCACTTGGCTCCCTGTAACCCACGACAACCTCTACTTCATCAACCTTGGCAATGAGCTCTCCCTTGGCTCCAACCCCGATAAAGAGAAGATGGACTTCTGGGACAGTCTCTACACCAAGTATTACAGAATCTGGGAGCACCCCAAGACCAACACGGAAGAAGTCGTCCGCAAACACGAACCGATTATAGTGGCGGAGCAAATACAGACCCCTGAGGCACCCCAGCAAGAAATCATAGTTGAAACTACAGTCGGAAGCGTGGAAGTGGTCGATAACGTGAAAGAGGACACGCCAGAACCTGAGCCAGTGCCAGAAATCGAGCCAACTCCAGTAAACTTCGTGGAAATAGCCGAAGAAATACCCGAGCCACAAGTCGAAACGGTGTCGAATGCTCCAGCCGAAGTCATTGAACCAGTGAAAGAGGCCCAGTTTAATGGAAATGGGAACGTAGCTAAGCCTAGAACGTCTAATGAAATAAAAATGGTGCAAAACGCCAATGGGGTTCCTAAAGACGTTATAAGAGCCAATGACCCACCCGAAGATGACCTCCCCAAGAATATAGGCGTGAACAAGTTCGTCAATTTCTTCGAATCGCTCGGAGGTAAGAAGTAAGCCATAATTAGATTAAGTATCCATTTATTTATTCCCTGGCATTTAAAACATTCCATTTATAGTTTTTTGGGACCAAAAATATTGAATACATATCAAATTCTAGTGTTTTGTTTAGGCGATTTTAAATTATTGGTATTTAATACTGAAAGTTGGGTTGCATTGGGTCGTAGATGTTGGTACGATAGGGCTCGATTATATTACCTGAAACTATACTTACCTAATTTATTATTTCTTTAATGAAGAAAATCGTGGTATACTTGCGTATATTATTATTATCTTTTAAATCTCACTTATTGTATAAATTACAATCACAGCAGTAAAACTGTCCATAGGACTTTTTCTATTTATATTCCTTCCTCTATTGACACTTCTAGATTTATATTTTTCATTTTTAAATTGACTAAACGTATATCAAACGTCACGACCAATGTACTCGTATACTTTATGTGTAAGATTCGTTTATGTAAAAATATTGTGTAAATAATGATTATGTCTGAGTGCTATAGATTTTTTCAAGCAATATTAATGTAGTAAATTTGAAAATTCTCTTAAAAATATTGTATGTTTAAATTAATATTAACTTTTATGAAAACTAAGTCAGTAATCTTGTAAAATAAAATTTTCATTAATACGAAACTTAATTTTACAACTAGTTCAAAGTTAAAATCTTTAATAATTCAAGTTTCGTGCTCAGCATGATACAAATAAAGGTTGTTGTTCATACACGCGAGCATTCGCTAGTAATGTTACAATCCAAGACTTGATATGAGAGCTATATCATTATGAGATGCGCGGTGTAACGCTCGGTTCGGCTCGCGGTGTAATGCTCGAATCTAAAACATTACATGCGAATACTCTGTGTAGCGGCACCTTAATATTTAAAATTTTAACATTTGTGTTACAAATTAAATCATACTGTCTATTTTTTGGCTACTTTTTCCAGTTTTATCTAAGAAATGTAGATATGTGCCAATTTCGAAAATAGTTCTAATTTTATTCATTATTATATTATTACTTGGTAATAATAGAATTGTATTTTTATATAATTATACTTGTGGATTAATTAAATCATGTTAATTGATATGTTTGTATTATTTCTTTTACAAAAAACACCTAATAATTAGTAAATTTTCACTTTACACAAATAAAAAAGCAAATATTTCTCAAACATTTTATTAAAACAATTGAGTTATTGTAACAATAATAATTATATTAATTACATTTAAGTACTCAACAATTGAATATAGAATTATATATTTTTGGTTATGTATATCACAGATACTTGAAATGCTATGCGTGGACTCTTACTTAGGCACTTTATCATAAAAGGACACTTATAAATTCAATCACTTATGCACTCCACAATGTTAATACGAAGTCTTGAGTTGAGTTTTAAAGCCCGTATTCATAAACGATGCTTGCTTAAGTGAAGCAAATCGAAGGCACAGCGTTGAATAGAGCTTTGTGATTGGTTCGTATCATCCTGTGCGTCCACGCGCTCTGTGAGACCTCATAGTAATGTTTGTGAATACGGGCGTAAGTGTCATTTTAGAGTAATGTGCGATGCAGCGATATGTATGAGGAATGTTACAGAATTCAGAATCAGTTACTTTTATCAAAATAACACACAATTATTCCCTCCACCTACATAAGTTTCATACAAACCAACATACATAGTACTCATTTAGTTGATACACATACATAGTACATACAGGTTGATACAGTCTCATCAAAAAAATAAAATATCTATCGAATTTGTTCATTAACACCTTCGCTGCCAGCCTAAAAATGGAACTGTTCCGTTCGGGCCATGGGGGACAATGATGGGCGACACTTTAACTTTCCGTTCGGGCCGCGTCGGACAATGATGACCGCGAGTCAGACCTATGTTTAAACCTCTGTATTGAGCCGATGGACAGCATTTCTTCAATAATTCTCATATAAGCTGACCCGCGCGGCTCCCAAGATTAGTGTACGTCACTTGGTTCTCAGGTAAAGCTCGGACTTAGAAAAAAAAATGTGGATAACGGTAGCGCAATGAAAAATGGTAATTATACAATGCATTTTTGCAAATTTATCAACTTTTTAGCAAGATAATAACGGTTTATGTATTAAAACATATCGTTTACTTATTTTATATAATCCCAACTAATATTATAAATGCGAAAGTAACTCTGTCTGTCTGTCTGTCTGTCTGTCTGTCTGTCTGTCTGTCTGTTACGCTTTCCCGCTTAAACCTCGCAACCGATTTTGATGAAATTTGGCATAGAGATAGTTTGAGTCCCGGGAAAGAACATAGGATAGTTTTTATCCCGGTTTTTGAAACAGGGACGCGCGCGATAAAGTTTTTCTGTGACAGACAAAATTCCACGCGGGCGAAGCCGCGGGCGGAAAGCTAGTAAACCTTATAATATTCCTATTTATGCGTAATATAATATATCAAAAACCTACCAATGTACAACTCTTTATTTTTTTGGTTATTCTCTTTTTTTTTTTTGGACGCGAGCGGGGATGGTCGACGACATGACCGCGCGGCCCTACGGAACGGATTTTCGAATTTTCGCTCGCTGGGGCCATGGGGGTCAATGATGTCCGACGCTTAATAATTCGATGTAGAGACTCAAAAACAACTATATGTTAATAAAATCCTTTATTTATGTTTATAATGTAACGATTTAACAAAAAAAAACAATCGACGAAAATTGAAAATATTGAAATTTTTACTTGGCCTGGTAGGAAAGTGCAGTGTCGGACAACATTGACCGCGTTGGCGTTCAATGTGTTAATCAAATTTAATCATGTCATACAAAACGTAATAAGCTCATTTATAGTCAGATATAGCATACGCATAGCTATACAGGGTGTTAGGTAAATGGGTATATGAGCCGACACTAACCCATGTTAACATGGTCATATAAATGGTATGGTGAAGTCAGAAAATTGATATCTTCATTTTAATTATTTTAATTTTCATACAAATCGGATTTTATAAAATTTATTTTGCTTGCTCAAAACGAATGGGATGATTCCATAGTTTTGCTCGCGAGTGTATAAATGCGAAAGTAAACTTACGTATTCATGTCTAAACCACTGTGACCCCATAAATAGCTTCATTCATTGGAGATATCCCCAACCCGTCTGGCCAGCGTGGGGAGTGTAGGACAAATCCTCTTGCCTCTGGTCAATTAGAGGGTCGTGCTCCTGAACTGGAGATTAAATGACCTGATGATGATTTGATAGTCAACTACTCTATAACTTGGACATTTCCCCACACACTTCGACCCAAAACTTATAATTATCCCAGTCAATATTCTTCGTAAGTGTAATTTCATCGTTAATTACCAACATTTTCTTCTCTTTAGGATCGTAAGGCGTCCATTCCAGCTTTTGGTTGCTCCATGATGGTTTACTGAAAATAAAATACATAGATATTTATTAACTTGTACGGGTAAGGGAATCATCAATCATCAGGCCTCATCACCCGGTCTGGCCAGTGTGGCGAGTGTAGGCCAAATCCTCCATTACATCATCCACCGGACGTCCACTGCTGAACATAGGCCTCCCCCAAAGACTTCCACATCGCACGGTTGGTAGCGGTCTGCATCTGCCTTTCTTCATTTGTGTCTGGTAAATTACAAGGGTGCCTAGTTCGAAAATTATAAATAACTTGAAAAAATCGAACTGCCTAAGGCGGTAATGGAACCCACGACCTTTCAATATTTCTGTTAGATGTTTAAGGGTAGGTATACCCAACATTGATGAAACAAACGCTGACCGTAACAGCGTATTACACTTGAAAATTTCGACGGGTACATCCAGTGTCTAAGTAGCTCAGTTGGAAGAGCAGTCGCCCGGCAAGCGGAAGGTCGTGGGTTCAATTCCCGCCTTAGGCAGTTCGATTTTTTCAAGTTATTTATAATTTTCAAATTAGTTTGAGATGCGACTCTTAACGCTAAAAATTAAATAACTCCTTGGCCCTAACATCAAATACTCACCCATATTTTGCAAAATTAGTCCACGCTTCTCTGAAAAAATTCACCATAGCCCAATCTCTTTTGTCACATTTCTCAGTCTTATTCTTCCTGTAAAATTGATACTGTATTGCGTCTCCATGGGTCGAGCCTTTGACTCCAAGATTCTTCATTACACTTATGTTCAAATTGCCAAAATAATGAAACTTGTAAAAGTATAGTTCGTTGCTATGTTTAGATATCAATTCAGCGAAATAAGTCTGATCTCTATTAAAGTACGCGTCTGACAGCATTTGTAAATAATCCAATTTCAAGTCATCGTTTAATTCCTTATTTTTGAAATAGTGTCGCTTGATTGCTTTTCCAATTTTATGCCTTTTTGGGTCGTGTTCACTGAGATGTAAGTACATCGGTGCAAATTTATGGAAATCCTTTTCAAAAACTATCCCATTTTCGTCTGTTCTCACAAAAGCTGCTCCCTCGTACATGTTGGAACCGAATAATGTGGGTACTTTGATGAATCTGTTAGAACGGATTACGTCTAACGGAGACTCATCCCAGAAGTTTTCGACCCCTTCAAACTTTTTCTCCACCACCCCCATGAGAATTGGGTTCAAAACTGGAGGATCTCTTTCTATGAAACTGTATGTTGTCACTAATTCTTCGATAGGCAAGTTTTGGTAGAATTCATACAACTCAGGTACAGTTTTAAAATCTTTGCCGAATTTAGACGCTATAAACTTGGCCATGCCAACGTTATCTTGGACAGAAAAGAATACATCACCAAGCGTATGACCTGATTGCGCTATAATTTTATGAAACAACCCAACACTCATTTTTGACGAAAGACAACCAGCACCAAGAGCAGATCCTGCACTTTCTCCGAACACAGTTACATTGTTCTCATTACCGTTGAATCGTCTAATATTCCTTCTGACCCATCTTAAAGCCGCTACACAATCCTTCATTCCAGCGTTACCAGGCACTTCTGGAGTCTCCAAACATAAAAACCCTAATATGTGCAACCTGTAGTTTATCGTCACTAAAATAACATTCTGCTTCATAAACAGATCAGGTTGGTAATAATCTCCGTAACCGATCAATAATCTGCCTCCATGTATGAAGAATAATACAGGGAGTTCGTTCAATTTCTCAGCAGGCAGGCTCGGTGTGTAAACGTTTAAGTACAAGCAGTCTTCGGAGCCTTCAAACCCTTTGAACGAGTACGGATTCATCTGGGCGCATTTGTTGCCTGGTTTTGTGCAATCTCTGACGCCTGACCAGCTTTCCGGAGGCTGCGTGTCCTGAAATGCAACAGGTTTGAAGTTATTAACAGAATTAATTTATAGTCTGTAGCCTTCCATGATCAATGGACCATTATTGTTCTTGAGATTACACATTCAATCAAAGCAATAAACTTTTTGGTTGTTCATAATATTAAGTATAGAAGTTGAATTTCAATCAAAGGCTTAAAAATTAATACCTGCCAACCTACTGCAACTAATTTATTTTGAAAGACGGCTTTTAAAAAACGTATGTCCCAGTTTAATCCTACCACTGCTTCGGGACAAAAAACAGGCCAGTGCTGGGAAGAAGCAGTAAAGAAACTCAGCTTCTTTTTCAAGGGTAAAAAGTTTCTATAAAACTACTTATAATAGAAACAAAATACGAACCCTGAACCGTAGTTTTCCAACAGGAGGCTTGGCATAGGGGATCCCTTCGAAGCTGTAATATTTGATCCCTTCAAATGTGGTACACTCCTTGCCTTGTATTACTCCTTCTGCAATACTTACCTGGCAAGCCATGCTGAAAATATTGTCAAATTAATTTAGACCACAAAAATATTATCTTTAACAGGTGCAACTCCTGTGTAGCCAGGATCTACAGCTTGACCGCCAATAACCCAACCAGTGAAGGTCAAGTTCGTCCAGGGGAAAGTTAAACTGTTATTGGACCCGCAACGAAATTCAGAAGAACATAGGAGTTCGAAGTTAGGACTCGATTTTCTTCCAGTGCAAATTAATCGAAGCTAGAATGCAAGGTGAAAAACATGACTGATCAAAAAAATAATTTGCTATAGTGGGAATTTAATTTTGCAGTGATTTCTGGGTTTTGAACAATATTTATTTATTTAATTTAGTTTAATTTTAGGTACCTTAGCAGCTGGGGAGAGATTCCTAGGCTGTTTCACTTCTGTAAACGTAAACGAAGTTTTCTCTCTAATAATATTATAATCCTTATAAACAAAATTTTTTTGTGCTTGATTTGACTACAAAGAAATAAAGTGGAAATAAATACCTACATAAAAGTTGAGCGAACTTTGCACTATGCTAATTTATTTTTTCGTAATTTTCGTGTCGATTTGACTAAGGTTGTTGAAAAATATCGATAAATTGATATATCGAAATATCCATTAAAATATCGATATCTAAATTTTATCAAAAACGATATTTTTTTTATAAACATAATTTTTATAATATTTGTTATCGTTGTTCTTGATTTATTAAAAATGATGACTGTGGACTGTCCACAACGTGCTCACTGCCTCGCTCTTAATGATAGGACTTCTAAGAATCGAATTGTACTATGTTTTCTTTCAATCCAACTTTTTTTAGACTTCTTTTTCCATACAAAATATTTGTAGTTATACGGAGTATTAGGTAAATGGGTATATGAGCCGACATTAGCCCATGTTAAAATATGCATATAAATAGTATGGTGAGGTCAGGAACTTGATATCATCATTTTATTTTTCATACAAATCTGTTTTATAAATTAAATTTTGTATGAATATTTAAAAAATTCAAATTATGATATCAAATTCTGACTTAACCAATTACCATTTATATGCATAATATGTTATCATGGGCTAGTGTCGGCTCATATACCCATTTACCTAACACCCTGTATAACCATGTAATCCAAAAATTATCAACATCACCTTGTTTTCACAATAATGAATGATTTACATAACTTATCTATGACAATGGTACGGTGACGGTGTTCTAAAAAACTATTATGCGTTTAGGAATGTTCCTAATACTTTTTAACTAGGTTTCATTCATAGAATATACCCCTAAAATTTCTGGAAATCAAAAGGAGCACGATGTATTAATTAGTATTTATCTAGTAATTTAATTAGGGAGATGAAGTGGAAAAGGCCAATTTTTTTTTAATCAAACCGATATATTGATATTATTAAAAATATCGATGCAATATTATAGGTATCGGCAATTTATTGCATTTCCGACATCCTTAATTTGATTGACACTTGTGACAGAAATGATAGGCAAACACGAGAGAAAAAAAAGCTTTTATAAATGCAGTGACATTAGGTCAAATTCTAAGGCTAAGGACACATGTTAATTTCTTGATATTTTTACAAAAAAACCTATGCAAAAACATGCAAAGTTCATATCGTGTTAGGTTATAGGGGTTCCGTACGGTACGTACCTGCCTTTTAATAACTAAAAAAGTGGTCAGTCGGTCTATCTACAGTACAGTGCAGCAGCAGTATCACGTGGGTCGACTGCGGTAACGGTAAAAGAATTTTGCAAAAAATGAATTTATCGGGATCTATCAAACAAAAGATACTACACACAATCACACGCACGTCAAACTCTATGCAATTAAAATAAGGGTTCCTTGTCAGGACTACGGAACCCTAAAAACCAGCCAAGTGTCGTCGTGCCACGCGCAGTGTAGGTACTATAGGGTCCCGTATTTGGTATTTCCCGTTTACTTCATCAAGGTCACCTTTTCAGCGTTAAAAATAGGAGTTGTACTTTAAAATTATACTTAAAGAGTTGCTTATTTTTTTCGATATATGGATCCATTTTGATCCATTTGCGAAATATATAGTAAACTTTTTTTTGTAGGTTTAGGGTCCTTGCCATAGAGGAATTTGGTCCTTGCAGTAGTTGCAGGCAATCCTAAAAATACGCACAAATTATAACAAAGCATTTTGTTGCATTTTTATTAAATAAATGTTGGGATTAGATATTGTCTTCTTTAGAAGACTTTGCGTGGAAGGCAGGGAAATCTTTTCAGCGCCCCGGTCTTTGTAGGAAATTGTTATAAAAGACCGGGGCGCTGAAAAGGTTAAGATTGATCTAACGATAAGCTTAAAAAAATCGTATAGATAACCGTGACATTATTGTACGCTAACTAAACGCAGAGGTCGGGCCAGAGCGACATCTTGCGGTCATGTTCAAAACGAAAGTGTCATTATTGTCACTTCAGTAATGGCGGCCACGATCGTTTCGACATATGTAGCGTGACAAGTCATGTCGTTTTTGTCCATGTTATATGAAAAAATCCAATGGCAGATTCTTTCTTCGGGTTCGATACTTCGTTATCGGTGAGTTCATTAACATTCCTGCCGAAAAATCAGTCCGAATTCCGTGTAAAATGTGTTATTTTGTACATACATAGTCTCCGTGTCAGCATGCAAGTATGGTTTTAATTTCGTGAATTCTAACCATTTTCTAACACTTTTCCAGTATATTCTTGCACAAACCTAGAATAATACTCATATCCTATTAGTTTTAAACATAATTAAGTACAAAATACACTTGTAAATACTTATTTTGGATCATTGTAGTGTGGTTTGGTTCAACATATTTCACTATGTATGTCATTCGTGGACGTTGTTTGTACGTGTTATTTTATGTGTATATTTACGATGTTTCGAGTCCCGTCTTGCGTCTGTATGCATAATAACAACCTATCTCCTTTCGATATGCGTGTTGTACGATTCGGAATACTGGGACTGCTAACAGTACCTAAATGAATCACTATAGTAGCAATATCAGTGATAATAATAGGGGCAAGGGGCTTTCTTCGAATAAAACTGATATCATATTGAGTGTCAAGTCCGTTTGTGTGTTGCTAGCTATGTAAAACATTAATTTTATGTATATTTTGCCTAATACATTAGCAATAGCATTTTAGCATTTTGATTTTGAAAACCAGCATATTTTTTGGAATGTGGCCTTTACTTATCTGTAATACCCATAAATGTAAATAATTTAACTACTTTTTGATTTGATTTTGATATCAATTACTTTGTTAAATTATTCACAATCACATTATCACTTAATAAAACAGCATTTATTATTAGTACATCTAATATTATAATTATTGTGTTGAGTGTTGAAGAATTCAAGTTAAAATTCAACGCATTATGCACCCCAAGAGTGTCATGAATATTTTGGAGGTTAGGTTGTGCGTCGTATGTAAACACTTTGGGAATCATACTGGAACTATCTCTGATATTTACATATTTGTATCACTTTTTGACCAACTTCAACAAAAGGAAGTTTTCAATTCGGTTGGTACTTTTTTGTACTGATTTTGTACTGACTAGTTGTGCTATTGAAATTGGCTCGACCTAGCCCAGGACAGGAAGAAATGGAACGGGATGCAGGAGGCTTTTGCCCATACAGGGTGCCACAAGAGTGAACAGACAGATGCTTCTAACTTAATTTATAAATAAATTGTCATTTGTAAACTTGTAGAAATAAAAGATTTTAATTTATTTTATTTGTTGTGCTATCGCACACCAAGCAAAGCACAGTGGGGCCTATCTCTTTGTAATAGGGGATATTTTGCAACAAGAATGTATAGTCTGATGTGCTTTTGCCCGCGGCTTCACCCGCGTGAAATTTAGTTTGTCACAGATCGTCATAAATTATAGCCTATATGTTAATCTGGGTTATAAACAACTAAACTTACTATACTGTAAAGTTTCATCAAAATCCGTTCAGCAGAAAGAGTAACAAACATCCAGACATCCAAACTTTCACATTACAATATTATTGTAGGATTGGCATTTGTATGAGGGATTTACCCATAATTTTCCAACTTTGAGATATGCAACTACAGAATTCAGAGATTCCCCTTTTTGAATTGGTCTGTCACAGAAAACATAACAGTGTTCACTGTTCATTGATAAAACTGAAATTTCTTATTGAAAACAATGATAAAGTAAATAATTGATTCTACATACAATATCTTTGCCTATTTTATCCTCTACAAGTTTTATTTTTGCCATTAAAGGTAGCCTATTCCTTCTTTATGATGAAAATTGCATTATTAACAAAATTTATCAATATTAGCATTAGTTCAGTGGTTTAGGTGTGATAAACAGACAAACTGGCAGTTACTTTCGCAGTAATAATATTTGTACAATACAATTTATTAAAATAAAGATTATACAATATTTTATAATTTATTTTGCTTGAAAGTATTTCTAGTTGTGTTTATTGCTTTATTTTTCCACCACACTAACTTGAAATGTAATTAAATTAAAATGTAATATCCTTGTACTAATTATTGAAATCGTTTTAGTGTCTTGTTTAGATAATTGCCACAAATTCCTTCTGATTACTTATTGTGTTGTGTGGCTTTACTAAATGTATGGATGCTGGAAACATTGAATTATCGGATAGATCCAGTTTATTCTGTAACCTATTATTGATATCGTTTGATAGAGCTTGTGAAGCACTTTTAGAAATAATTGAGTGAGATCACTTATCGTTTATCAATACACTAGCGACCGCCCGCGACTTCGTACGGGTGGTCCCCGTTTTACCCCCTTAGGGGTCGAATTTTGCAAAACCCCGTCTTAGTGAGCATCTACGTTCTAAAAGGAACCCCCATGTAAAATCTGAAACTTCTAGCACTTGTAGTTTCTGAGTTTTCGTGATGAGTGAGTGAGTCAGTCAGAGACCTTTCGCTTTATAGATGACTAACTTTAGCCCGCGGCTTCACCCGCGTGGAATTTTGTCTGTCACAGAAAAACCTTATCGAGCGCGTCCCTGTTTCAAAAACCGGGATAAAAACTATCCTATGTCCTTTCCCGGGACTCAAACTATCTCTATGCCAAATTTCGTCAAAATCGGTTCAGTGGTTTAGGCGTGAAAGCGAGATGATGGTGTCTTAAATAAAACTCTGGTATATGTTCACTGTGTAAGCTCGTGCAAGCACTGACGTCCATCCCGTGTGGCGGCCCGACTACGACTGACCCCCACCGCGCCGTACTAGTCAGTGTTGCCATAGCGCACACTCTTTATTTGTGTAGTAGTACACCACATGTACTGATGACTTTTGCGTTGTTGCAGAACTTAAATGACGATGAGGGAGCTGGTGAACCTTCAGAGGACGAGTACGATGCTCTCAACGATGAGACCTTTGGACAGGACTGTGAGTATTCATTACATTTGTTCGTTTCAGCCAAATGACGTCCACTGCTGGACAAAGGCCTCCCCCAAGGATTTCCTTAACGATCGGTTCTGCACTGCCTGCATCCAGGTACTTCTCGCAACCTTACACCAGATCGTCGGTCCACCTAGTGGGAGGCATCATTGGGGGGCATTCATCACATTAACTTAATTTAAACGAATGAAAGAACGAAGCGCGACAGCAATATAAATACGCGCAAGCGATAAGGATAAGCTTGGGGTCATTGTACGAAATTCTATCTGCTCGGCGACCGGACTTTAGCGTGGAAGAAAGGTTCACAATCACAATCCCCTATTGATGGGACAAGTAAACGGGGCATATGGGAGAAGCCACACGGTGCGCAAACATTTTGCCGCTTCACTGTACACATGGTGGTATGCGGCGCAATACGGCACCGTCTCGCTCACAGGGTTCGCTTACAGGCTTCGGCAGGGTACTCACCTGCCATGTAGCACGTAACGTAGCATGTAACGTATCCAACCTTCAAGTGAGTACGGCTCGTCCACGGTCATCGCGTATCTAGCTGCGAGCTCCTGGATCCTACTGCGAGCCGCCTTTGTGCTCGCAGTGATACCGCCACTCGGCGGGTCGCTGCGATCTCCCTGCGAACCACGCGCGAGCAGCTCGCAGCGGGTTCGTGCCTATGTACTCACTTGATACAGTATCTGATACATTACACGCTACGCGGTCTGCTGGCGCCGCGCCGCGACCGCATCGCACCGTGTGGCTTCTCCCTAAGTGCCTTTTCACACGTTCCGGTTGCCGGCTATCCGGCGCCGGGTACCCGGTCGTGAATGTATGGGCATGCCGGATTAATTACGCCGGAACATGTGAAAGCTCCGTACCATGCACATACACTTCACCACCGGGNGTTCCGGTTGCCGGCTATCCGGCGCCGGGTACCCGGTCGTGAATGTATGGGCATGCCGGATTAATTACGCCGGAACATGTGAAAGCTCCGTACCATGCACATACACTTCACCACCGGGTACCCGGCGCCGGATAGCCGGCAACCGGAACGTGTGAAAAGGCACTAAGAGTAGGCGCACACCGTTGATTTTTCGTCGGCCGATAGTTTAGTCGGGCAGTTGATCAGTATGGGCATGTATGGGAGTGCGCACACTACGCCGATTCGAATTGGCCGATTCTTCATACAAATTAAAATCGGGCACAACTATCGGCCAACTAAAAATCAATGGTGTGCGCCTACTCTCAGTGGAATGACCCAAACTGACTGATCACTGGTAACAATAACTAAGTATTGAATGTGTCCACAGCGGAAGAGTTCGACTGGGAGGTGCAACACGAGAACTTGGCGCTGCTGGATCGAGGCCGTCATCATGGCGGCATCGACGACGCGGCCAACTCGCAGCTGGGTGCGTAAAATATGTTACATTAGTTGTGCCCCGCGGTATTACCCGCGGTAAAACGTAGCTTATGTGTTAATCCAGGGTGTCAGCTAACTCCTAATCACTCAAGCCATTTAGACGTGAAGAAGTACTCACAAACTTTCGCCTTTATAGTATTAAAAGCACACATGCTACTAAGTAGCAATTGGTCAATAGTGGCATGCTATCGTGCTAGTAATGAGCATGTGTACCTTTAGATTAAAAACCTTATTGCAGCATACGTTTTTTTAGCCCAACCGTATAAAGTATATTGACAAAAAAAGTCTTTTTTGTTTCGTTTCGGTTTCGTGCAATTTGCCAGTGTCAATTAATAAATAATTATATTATTCCCTTAAGAAGGAAAATGTGGCACTATACTGAAATCCCACTAGAACTTTTGAGAGAACTTGTTGCTGAAACTGCACTGTTTTGTTTCATTTTCCTAAACTTGTGCCTTCACAAATACTTAACGAGTTAACAAATCCATCATTATTCGATGAAACATTAAATTAAAGAACTAAACTGCTAAACATGACGTTTTACATTCCCGCTAAAAAGTATTTTACCTAATTTGGTCAGCCACAGTATGATATTTGACCTAATTATTCGTATATTTGTTACAGAGGCATCTCTATCCCAGCTAGTACTGGATGAGACGGACGCGCCGCAACCGCGAACGCTCGGTTCCAACGTTTGGCGGCACGACGGGATACCAAAACCTATTACAGTAAGTGTACTAAATATGTACTAATTGTACAGTGATGGTACTAAATTGTACTATGTTTGTACTAATGGTATAGTGTAGGTACTAAATGTACTAATTGTACACTTAATGTACCAGTTTGTACAGTAAGAGTACTTACTTTGTACGTATCTTTAGCTATTACTGGACGAAACAGATGCGCCGCCGCCTCTAACGTTCGGCTCGGACGTGTGGCGGCACGACATACTACCCAAGCCTGTTACTGTGAGTACATTAAATTGTACATTAAATGTTCAATGAGTGTTATGCAAAAATCTATTTTTTTTAGTTTATTTAGTACTCTTTTACATGGCACATTTTTTTTTACTTTAAATGTTTATGTACTACACATTAGGTCAATAAATGGGTCTGTGCTGAGAAGAATAAGCGCAAGAAACTCGGTCACTATTGTCTTTAACAACCTATTTTTAATAAGTGTACAAGATACTGTACTATGGTCAATAGGTACTTTCAATCTACACATTTTTGTCATTTAAATATTTAATCATCTACCTTAAAATTTATATTTTTATTAAATATTTTTTTGTACCGTGAGTGTATTATCTAATGTATAATGTACACATTATGTACAATTTGTGTACTAAATCGTGCATTAAAAATTAATGTAACAAAAATAATTTACACAAAGAAACAAAATATACCCACATTTCTGTCTATTTTTTTCACCTTAAAATTTTCGCATGCAATATTTAAGTTCATGTGATATAGATGACACGCTTTATTTAGTCTTATGGCTTTAAAATTAAGTTAATTTTGCATTGATTTGCCGAAATGAAGTTCTAAGATCGTATTTGTGAAAATGTTACTATTTACTTGATGTTTGCACTTATGATTTACGTGAGAAGAAAAATTATTGGGCGGTTTTTCAGCACGCATGGTGTTTTGCGTTAGGTATAAGAGATAATGATGCCGACATTAGTGTGATGGTAAAGTCTGGTCGCGGAGCACGTAGAATTTTGTCCAATGACCCCAAGCTACCTATCCTTATCGCTCGTCATGAGATATATTGCTGTCGCGACTGTGTGACGGGCGGCAGCAGTGAGTGTGCGAGTGCAACAGCAATATAATTACGCGCGAGCGATAAGGATGGGTAGCTTGGGGTCATTGGACAAAATTCTACGTGCTCAGGGACCGGATTATAGTTATTTATTGTTCAATAGGGTATTTGACACCAAATAATTAAAATTTTGTCTCTCAGTAACAAAATCTTCTTGAAAAATCACTATAGTTCTAAGCTAACGCTTAATTCAGTCAGTGACTGAGCTATGGGAGCGGCATGGGAGGGGTGACATTGATATATTATGACGTGACACAGCATATAGATGACCCAAACTGAACTGTCCCACCAAACTCATTGACAGAGGGGCGGCACCATCGTTCAACTAATAGTTTCCTACATGACAAAAATCGGAACCAGCGATTCGGTATTGACGGTGGCGCCCCGCATGTCACGGGTAGGACAGTTCAGTATATTGGGTCTATACAATTCTGAAGCATAATTTGAGGTCTCACTGACGTTTGACGTTACAAAAACACCCTCCCGTGCTGCACCCATACCTCAGACACTGACTGAGTTAAACGCTAAACCCATACCTACCGTATTGTTAAAGCCCGGTCTGTGAGCTCGTAGAATTTTGTCCAATGACCCCAAGCTACCCATCCTTATCGCTCGCGCGTAATTATGTTGCTGTCGCGCTCGCACACTCACTGCAGGCGCCCGTCGCACAGTCGCGACAGCAATATAATTACGCGCGAGCGATAAGGATGGGTAGCTTGGGGTCATTGGACGAAATTCTACGAGCTCACAGACCAGACTATACTTACATCCTGTATAATGTTATATTTTTGTCGCAGCCGGTGCAATCGCTCAAGAATGTGTGCACGGTCGAGGAGTTGGAGCGGCAGCTACGCCAGAAGCAGCCGCAACCGATCTCCAACCAGAACTTCTTCCAGGTTTGTCCCTTATTCCGTTGTGATAGAGTTCAAAATGCGGCAGCAACATATTGTACTAATTTAGTACCAATTTAAGCTGTAATTTTATGATGGTGTGTAAGCTTCCTTCATTGTAATAAAGTTTGAAATACGGTAGCAACATGTTAAGATTTAGTACCAAATTAAGCTGTAACTGTTAACTGCCATCTAGCGGCAATAGGTACTACGGGACTATTCCCACCTCTCGTTCCCACCAATCAAAAAAATCACCTTTAGTTATTTTTTATGTCAAAACTGCTCCTAACCTAACTGAATTCTTTCAGCCAAGATTCCAACCGGTTATCCTACAAAGACCACCGGGTCTCCAGGCCCCGGTACCACTACCATTTGCCCCACAACAACAAATGAATCAACCACTAAACAAAATAATCGGCCAACCCAACCAGATGCAGAACCATCTGGGTCAGAACATGAGCCAGATGGGTCAGAACTTGAACCAGATGGGTCAGAACATGAATCAGATGAGTCAGAACGTGAACCAGTTCATGCAGTCCTCGAACCAGATGTTCCAGAACAGTATGGGTCAGGGTAATCTCATGAATATGTCTCAAAACATGCAGGGTATGCAGCCTAATCATATGATGCAGAATCAGATGGGTCAAAACCAAATGACGGCTAATGGCCCTTTCAGTCAGATGGGACAAATAAATCAGTCAAGTAACATGCAGATGAATCAAGGCATGGGTCAGATGGGCCAAAATTTACAGATGGGTCAACAACCTATGAACCAGATGGGTCAAAACGCAGCGCAACTCGGCCAAAACATGAACATGGGTCAGTTGGGCCAAAACATGAACCAGATGGGTCAAAACCTAAACCACATGGGCCAGAATTTTAACCAGATGGGGCCGAATATTAATGCATTGGGCCAGCAAATGAATCAGAACCTGAGTCAGATGGGTCAGAACATGAACCAGATGGGTCCTAACGTGAACCAGATGAATCAGAACGTGAACCAGATGGGTCAGAACATGAGTCAGACGGGTCAGAACGCGAATCAGACGGGTCAGAATCAGATGATTCCGAACGGCAATCAGTTTGGGGGGCCTGGTATGGGCCAGTACCCTCATATGATGGGCCAGCCCAGAATGATGGCGCCGCCTGGCATCAACATGCCCAGGCAGAATTTCAGCCCGAACATGGCTCCTTTCAATAACTTTCGCGTAAGTATAGTTTAAAAATTTTCTTGATATTAGCACTAATAAGATATTTTTAGTTAGTTTGCCCAGTGCAGAGATGTTTTTAATTGTTTATAATCTTTTTTAATTTCAATTTTCGTTCTATCTTACTTTTCTAAGAATTTTAAGAAAATCTTAGTACTGCCATATCACTCGACATATATCGTGGATTCAATTCCCAATGTTACTGTTTTCAAAAGTCAAGCTTTAAATGTTGATGTTGCTTCACAAATGTACGAATGTTAATAAATAATGCATAACATAATAGTAATTGAAATTACGATTCGCATCTCTCCAAGCAAAGTATTTCCAAAAAATATAATAATTCTTTCACGTTTCTATAATTTTTCAGGCCCCATCAATCCAATCGAAATCAAACGAGCCTGTCAACCACAACATTATGAATCAACCGATCCTCAACAAGAACACTTCACCGCAGAAACCTTTGGCGAATAGCTCGCCACAGACGAAAACTGTCAAGAAAGAACAACCAAAAGTTCAAAAGAGCCGAGTGTACAACAATTCCAAAACGGTGCCCCAAAACTTGACGTCGCAAAACTTAGTTCAACTAATACAGAATACTCATCCGATGTTACAACAGATGAGCACGAGTTATCATAACGCGAGCCATCATCCGATGTTGAATAATCGGAACATGTTCGGGAATAATCAGTTTATGAATAATCAGGTGTTTAACCAGAGGCAGAATGGCAGTTTCAGTAATAATATGTGAGTATATTTAAAATATTTCAGTAGATAGATATTCATATTATTTTTATTCATATTAAGATCATTTTAAACAGGACAGTAGAACAGAACTATAGTCTTCCCGTAGATGTCATGAGGCTATTAATTTAATATTATACGTCTTTTTTTATTGCGCTGATTCTGCTCCACACTGATGGCTGGAGCCTATAATGGATGATATTATTATTGTTTGTTTACACATACAATGTCACTATTTTGTTGCAATTTCTTACAAAACTTGCGCGCAGAAAGCAAATCTAGTATGTAAAATCATCAAACTTCTAATGCTCGTATCTCAGTTCAGACTCAGTTTAGAGGTATACATACATGTCATAGAAAGTTTGGTTTATTACACTATTTTGTAATCAAAAAATAAGGTTTGGTTACGATGGCCGCGCGAATAAAAAAGACGCCACCTTTCATACAAAATCTGGCATTGCCATTTAAAGGAAATCCGAAGTTTCGCTGACGTACGTACCAAAAACAACCTCCCATACCTTTAGTATAGGCCCTTTTCAGCGCACTTATACACGTCTGTGCATATAAACATTTTTCTTTCCATCTTCTTTAAAATAAATAAATTGAATTATTTTACCAGGCACCAAACGAACGGTGAGGACGGCAAACCCATTTCAACTGTAGACGAGTACGCTGGCCTGATGACGCAGCGAGAGAAGCAATGGCTGATCAACATACAGATGCTACAACTCAATACTGGAACTCCGTACATTCACGACTTTTACTATACGGTAAGTTTGAAAATGAAGCAAGTCATGGCTGGTATTTTTTAGTGAGGGAAAGGATGGCTGGTTATGAGCGAAGTAATGGCTGATCAAAATACAAATGCTACAACTCAACACTGGAACTCCGTACATTCACGACTTTTACTATACCGTAAGTTTGGAAATGATGGAAGCTATGGCTAGTATTTATAGTGAGCGAATGAATGGCTGGATATGAGCGAAGTAATGGCTGATCAACATAAAAATGCTACAACTCAATACTGGAACTCCGTATGTACGGAGTTCCAGTATTAGAATGTTCTAAACTTTTATTATATGGTAAGTTTGTTAACGAGGGAAGCTAAGGCTGGTATTTTTAGTGAGAGAAAGAATGACTGGGGGAAGCTATGGCTGATATTATTTGCAGTGAGCGAAATTATGAGGAGAGTTATGGTTGATTAACAATGATTTTTTTAACCGTGTATGGTTTCTTACTTTTGTGAGCCAAGTGATGGTATGAAATGAAATGTCTATTCATTTAGCTAACCCTTATGATGACGACTTCAATGGCTGTATGATAATCCTTATTAAAATGACTTATGCCTTTTTAAGAGACCCCTATGGTAACATATAACATGAATTTTGTTTACATAGGGGTCACTAAAAATTAGGGATTAATGGTGAAAACGGGCACAACACCCGTATTCACAAACGATGCTTGCTTAAGTGAAGTAACAAATCACAGCGTTGATCAATAGAGCTCTGTGATTGGTTCGTGTGTCACCCTGTACGTCCACGCGCACTGTAATACCTCATATTAATGTTTGTGAATACGGGAGTTAGTATGCTACAAAAAGAGGATTTTGATGGCTGTTTTTTCATTTTAATGGCCTTCAAATGAAACTGGACTCTATTGGCTTAAAGTTAATGCTAAATTTTTTTCCTACAGGTGTTCTTAGAAAGGCAAGCGAGTAAAGAAAAGGATTCCGTGAAAGAAGCTCACAAGGCGAACCAACAGAATCATCCTTTCTACAGCGGAGGTAGTAATTGTAAGTAACTGTTAACAGCACGACAAGCTACCCATCCTTATCGCTCGCGCGTAATTATGTTGCTGTCGCGCTCGCACACTCACTGCGGGCGCCCGTCGCACAGTCGCGACAGCAACATAATTCTACGTGCTTGTAGACCGGGCTTTAGAGCAGTAATGCAAAATAGCATCTCATCATCTCATCATCATCATTTTCAGCCATACGATGATTTCCACAATAGCTGGTTGGTAGCGGCCTGCATCCAGCGCCTTCCCACTACCTTTATGAGGTCGCCGGTCTACCTTGTGGGCGAACATAAAGATAGTACTTATGTATCTATTGTATCTTATGTAATTTACAGTGATCTGTTTGTGTGCCTATTTTAAATAAATAAACATTTAACCCTTACAGCGGTGAAGCAAGAAAACCATCCACACGGGCGCGAGAGACACAACTCCAACCGCCACAATTCCACGAGCGAAGACGCTCCCACACCGCGAACTTATGTCCCCACACAGTTTGAGAACTCTCTGGGGAAACTACAGGTGAGTTATACACCCTTAAACCATCGATTGATCCATCCATCTAGCCTTCACAACTGACATGGGCGCTTTGTAACTGACATGGGCGCTTTATAACTGACATGGGCCCTTTATAACTGACATGGGCGCTTTATAATTGACATGGGCGCTTTGTAACTGACATGTTCGCTTTGTAACTGACATGGGCGCTTTGTAACTGACATGTTCGCTTTGTAACTGACATGGGCGCTTTATAACTGACATGGGCGCTTTATAACTGACATGGGCGCTTTGTAACTGACATGGGCGCTTTGTAACTGACATGGGCCCTTTATAACTGACATGGGCGCTTTATAACTGACATGGGCGCTTTGTAACTGACATGGGCGCTTTGTAACTGACATGGGCGCTCTGTAATTGAAGTGGGCGCTCTGTAACTAACATGGGCATTCTTTGGTTGACATAGACGTTCTGTAAATGACGTGGGCGCTCTGTAACTAACGTGGGCGCCCTGTAAATGACAAAAGCGTCTAAAGTCCGGTTCGGCACGTAAAATTTCGTCCAATGAACCCAAGCTATCCATCCTTATCGCTCGCGCGTAATTAAATTGCTTTCGCGACTGTGCGACGGGCGCAATATAATTACGCGCGAGCGATGGGTAGCTTGGGGTGATTGACCGAAATTCTAAGTGCTCGGCGACCGGACTTTACATAAAACTTTTTTTTTTTTTTAAAAGATTATTACCAATTTGTATTGCCCAAATTACTAATAGTCCCATTAGCCCCTCGTGGTAAGCTAAATAAGCTTGTGTTACGTGTGAGCTCACCACAATAGTCGAGCGGCGGTGGGATTCGAACCCGCGTTCCTCGTATCTCGAGTCGGCCACTCCGACCCCTTCACCGTTCGGCTATCGTGGTTATAACTTTGCGTGTGAAACCCCCCATTTGAATTACATTTGTTGTCCCCAGTGTGGCAGTGTGACGGCGCCGCGCAAAATCATCGACGTGGAATTAGTGGGGGCGGAGCCCTCGCGCGCCTCGTCCAGGGCTCCCAGTCGGGCCAGCACCACCAACCCCAACGAGGTAAAAAACTAGCCAAACTCGAATCTGGGTAGTTTTAAATAAATAAATAAACAAAAAATGTATTTATTGCCTTCGAACCATTAGACATAGTTGACACTATTGACACTTTTGACTTCAATTTAGCACTGAAAATCGAGTTCGTTTTCAATTTGTTGTATAGTCTGGTCCGTGAGCACATAGAATTTTGTCCAATGACCCCAAGCTCCCCATCCTTATCGCTCGCGCGTAATTATGTTGCTGTCGCGCTCGCACACTCACTGCGGGCGCCCGTCGCACAGTCGCGACAGCAATATAATTACGCGCGAGCGATAAGGATGGGTAGTTAGGGGTCATTGGACGAAATTCTACATGCTCGGTGACCAGACTATAGTCTAGATCACAATGGTAGTTGACGCTATAGACCTGGGGGCGTAGTGTGAGTTTAAATCAAACGTATTCGATATGCGTCAAAAAAATCTGTGAAGATTTCAGTTCTTGAAACTTGAAAGTACCCGCTAGGGCGCTATACAACCCGTCATACATTTAATGTCATTTTTACGCAGTTTGATTGAAAACTAATTGAGTTTAAAAACCTGAATGAGGTGTTATTTTTAAAAATATATATTTATAGCGACCGCCCGCGACTTCGTACGCGTGGCCCGTTTTAACCAATTAGGGGTTGAATTGCAAAATCCCGTCTTAGTGAGCACCTACGTTCTAAAAGGAATCCCCATGCAAAATTTGAGACTCCTAGCACTTGTTTTTTCTGATTCTGAGATTACGTGATGAGTGAGTCAGTCAGTCAGTGACCTTTCGCTTTTATAAATATAGATTAGAGACGATAGGTGAACATAAAATTCAAAATTCAAAATTCAAAATTATTTATTGTGAAACATAGGTGTTTACAGATAAAAATATTACATTGTGATAGTCTCACTATGTTTCGCCTGGTTGGCATACAATAATATAAGTGATTAATAAATCAATGAATAAATTAATAATTCACATGCATTAATGACACAAAACACTTGATTGCTTATTAAGTAGTCAAAACTATAAGTCACTAGTCGTCGTAATATTACAATGTCAATTCAATATTAAAAATTCAAAAATAGTAATTAAAATGTCATAAAAAATTACTTATTATTATTTTAGTTTGTGTCGTGTGTGTTTGTTTTAGAAACATTTAATTTCAAATTTAAAGTTTATCTGTCATAAATTCATTAACACTATAATAGCTTTTCTCTGCAAGAAGACTTTTCAGTTTTAGCTTAAATAAGTTTATATTGAGTTCCCTTAATGTCTTCGGAATTTTATTGAATATTGCGGGTATCATACAAAACACACTTTTACGCATAAGCGCAGTATTGCAACTACGAACAACCAATCTATTGTCCCGGCGTGTCCGGTTATTAATATCTGACATATTTTGAAACATTGCAGGATTAGATCTAACAAACATCGCTATCTCTAGTATATATAATGATGGTAACGTTAGTATTTTAAATTTTTGGAAAAATGGCTTGCAACTTTCCNTCGAAATGCTGCGATGAAAGCTTCAGACGTAAGATCTCCCACCAATTCCAAATGTATGGCTTTAGTGCACATACATATAAATACAGAGATATAAGCCTTTCGTGTCTTCCCTCCACGGCCTTTGGACATGAGCACGTTGAATGGTCCTGCAAAGTCGACGCCAGTGTATTCAAATGGACGTGAAATATTGACTCTCATGTCAGGTAAGTCACCCATAACTTGGCTTCTTGCCTTGGCATTTGCTTTGGCACATATTATGCATCTGTGTACATGTCTTTTTATTACATTTTTAGCCTTTATGATCCAGAATCGTGACCTGAGATGACACAACATCAGCTGAAGCCCGCCGTGCAGAGTCTTCTGGTGTGCGTCTGCAACTATTAACAAGGTAAGTGCATTTTTATTACTTAATATCATTGGATGTTTTGTATCTCTTTCCAGATTCGCGTGTCGCAGTCTACCGCCCACCCTGAGAATCTGTTCTTCATCTAGGTACGGATTTAATGATTTTAGTGTGCTATTTCTCTTAACTCTTTTGTATTTCTTTATGTCTTCTATCTCTTCTTCAAAATCGACAATCTGTGCCTTTTTAATGCATATTTTCAAAGCTTCATCTAATTCTTTTGTACTTATTGCTCTCATTTCTTCATTTATTTTTAATCTTTTGTAGTTTAGAAATCTTTTCATGTAAATTATAATTTTTTGAAGTTCTTCCAAATTGCTATAGTTTTCAAAATGTAGGATTGTGTTGTTGTTCATTTTGTCTTCTATTATGTTCATATTTATCAATTTGGTTTTTCTTCTCTCAATATCCGTTGGTAGTATGTTTAGTCTAGAAAATGTAATCTGCTCTTCTAACAGCCAGCTGGGTCCGTGCCACCATTGTTTATTCTGCTTCAGCTCAGTCAATTTAGCACCTCGTGACGCGACATCGGCTGGATTTTTATCAGTCTGAACATGATGCCACTGACTGTTAGGAATGTTGTTTGCAATCTCAACCACGCGATTAGCGACGAATTGCTTCCAGCGGTTGGGCTCGCCGAACAGCCATGATAGTACTACTGACGAGTCTGTATAAGCAAATACCTTATTAGTTGGAATTCTCATCGCTTGGGCTGTGTGATACAAGAGTTTGGACAAGAGCACAGCAGCGCATAGTTCTAGACGCGGCATTGAAATCGTCTTTATAGGGGCTACCTTCGTTCGGGCAGCGACAATACTGACATCTATGGTTCCATCGGTTTGAATTACTCTACAGTATACAACAGCAGCAATGGCGTGCATCGATGCATCACTGAAACCATGTAGAGATATGTTATCTTTTGAAGCATTTAGGGTGTTCAGCCATCGTGGAATAGTTATTTCATTCACATTTCTCAGATCATCTCGAATAGACTTCCACTCAGCTTGTAAGGCATCATCAATAACATCATCCCATCCTACTCCTTGTAACCATAATTTCTGTACAAATATCTTTGCTGAAATGATCGCTGGGGCAATCCAGCCCAGTGGGTCGAATAGTTTTTGTAAATCTGATAATACGTCTCTCTTTGTTATGTCAATAGCTTGTGCAGGTAAGTTAAGATTGTATTTAGTCAGTGAGTGACAAAATTAAGTAACTTTGACCCGTTATAATTCTTAAACTACTGGTTCAAATTGAATGAAATTTTAAATATACCGTGTCTTTACAATGCCTGCATAGCTAATGAAAATTCAGCCTTCTAGTTTTATCCACAACGAAGTTACAGGCGGTCGAAAATGGCCTGAATTGCTTCGAGAAAAGGATGGTACGGCCGTGCCGCTTTTTTGCTCGACTTGGTGGGGGCACTGCCGTGCCCCCAGATATAACCAGCGCGCAAACTTACGCTGTATTTTTTCCACTAAGAGAACATATTTGTTCTCGTAGGGGTCCCAAACTACCGCACCATACTCCAGTTTACTGCGGACGTATGCATTAATAGTCTAAGATCCCGCTATACAACGACCTTCACCGAGATGCTTATTTGATGAAACATATTTTATATTCAATTTAACATGTCAATAATTATATTGCTTAAGGGTTGCCTAATAAATTTCAGTCCAGGATATGATTAATTAATCATTAAAAAAAGTTTTATTTTTAAATATTTCATCGGTTTGATTATTAAACAAACTCCATACCAATCGAAAGTATGAAGCCCATAGAATATGCAAACGTTAGGTTGCCTATTCTTTTCCAGTCATAACTCGCGGGTTGCCAGGTATAAACAGGTAAATTGATAGAGCATTTTGCATCGGTCTGATAATTTAATCAAATATAAATGAAAATAAAGATTATTTCATTATGAACACGGTGGTATAGGGTTGCCTGCGAAAAATCAGTCCTGAATGACGGTTGTCGAATTTTGTAAAGTGAAATTAAAACTGAAAGGTGACATTTTTCGAGTAGTTGGCAACATTTGGGAAAGACGAGTTGTATGAGGCGTTTGTGTGTCTTGTCAAGAGGTGTCGCTTGGGTGAAGAAATTTCTCCAGTGTTGCCATGCTTTCGGAGATTTGGTCCAAAAATGTCGAAAGTGGAAATAACGACTTCCGGTCAAAAATTTGGATGACGCCTCCTGCAAAAGGGTCGTACAAATGACATTTGACCATTTTCATCTCGATCACCTGGCAACACTTGCAGCTATGGGGAAAAGTATTTTTTTTCGACATGGGTGTCTTTAAAGTTAAGGACGGACCCCTCGTCTTCTGACAGCTGCATTAGTGTTTTTATAGCGAGATAGGGCGCTGATGCTGTCCCAAATGTGACTGTAAGTAGCCGGTAGTGTTTGACCTCGTCAGATATTGAAGTATTCTGTCTCCACAATACTCTCTGGAAGTCGGCGTCTTCTTTTTGAATGAGAATCATTCTGTACATCTTCTCTATATCGCTCACAAAACAGACCTTGTGCATTCTCCACCTCATGATGATACTTCTAAGATCTTCTTGCAGGACAGGTCCATTCATCAGTTCATCATTGAGCGATATATTGTTTGAGCCCTTGCACGATGCATCAAAAACAACGCGGGTTTTTGTCGTTTCCTTTTCAGTTCGCACGACTGCATGGTGTGGTAAGTAAACAGATTTATTGTTTAGTTCGTTTTGTGGTACTTCCTGCATGTGATTTAATCTAATGTATTCTTCCATGACTTCTTTATAATTTTTCTCTAATTCTGGCTGTCTATCAAATCTTCTTTCAAGCATTTGTAATCTTTTCATTGCAATATTGTATGTATTTCCTTCTACTGATTGTGGTGTTTCTGTTTTAAAAGGTAGTTTGACTATGTATCTTCCTTCTTCTGTTCTAGTGTAATTTTCCTTGTAGATTCTCTCACAATTTTCTTCTTCTTTTGTTAGTTTTCGATTCATATCTGTATCAACTTCCCACAGTGTTTTCAACATATCTTCCACTTCTATTTGCTGATGCATGACTATTATCGATTCTTCCCTTACATCTTCACAATCATTTACTTTTCCAAATAAGATCCAGCCCAAAGTTGTTCTTTGTGCAATAGGAGACCCAGGTGGACCCTTTATAACTTCACTTTGTATGATTTGTGCGTATTCATTTACACCAAGAAGTAAGTCGATGTTGGCTGGTTGACTAAACTTAGGGTCAGCCAGTGTTAACCCATCTAAATGATTCCACTTGTTTGTTGGTATTTTTTGAGTCGGTATCTGAGTAGTCAGTTGCTTTGCAATTACATATGCTTTCACTCTGAGGCTGAATTCTTCATTTCTCGATGAGACCTCTATCTGAACTACTTGTTTTAATCTTGATTTTACTTCACCTACTCCGACAATGCTTCCCTTCACTGGATACCGTCTCGCTCTAATTGTTTGTGCTGCTCGTTCACTTATAAAACATCCTTGTGATCCAGGATCAATTAAAGCTCGCAGAACTGTGGTGTGGCCATCTTCACTCTTGCATTCCACCAGGGCTGTCGCTAGCAACGCAACAGCTGTACTGTGAGTTGTGTTTGTTTGTGACGTCATCACTGCTAAGTTTATTTCTTCTCCTGATTCTGACTCTTCATCTACATTTGCGTGTAAAACCTTTGGCTGTTTCGTATCATTCCTTTCAGTGGGGCCAGAGGCATCGTTTGACCTTTTCGAATGTAGAAGGGTGTGGTGACGTCGCTGACATAATCTGCACTTGGTGAGTAGTCGACATGCTATAACTCTGTGTCCAGGAACCAAACAGTTGTAACAAATGTACTTTGACTTCACAAACTCGCTTCGTTGTTCCGGTTCCATCTTTCCAAAGTCTTTACAATGACTGAGTGTGTGAGTTTCTTCGCATAAAGGACATGTCTTCTCGGTAGCAGCGCCAGATGTGTGGTAAGATCTCACTATTCTTTCTTTGGACGAAGTTGGTTGTTGCACAAGCTCGAGCGTTCTAAATTTAGACTCCAAAAACATCTTTAATGACTCAAATGTAGGTAATTCTTCACTTCCTTGGTTGCTAACATGTTCTTCCCATTCCTTGTGTGTGTCTGTGTCTAATTTTTGCACCACCAGATAGTTGATAAGTGGATCCCAATCATCAGTTCTTATATTCATATTTTTTAGACTATTTAGACACTCAGATGTTGTATCAATAAGTGACCTTATGTGGGAGGGATTCTGGCTAGTAAGTTTCTTTTGAGAGAACATGCGTTTTAATAAAGATGTTACAATAAGTCGTTTGTTACTATACCGCCTTTTCAATGTCTCCCAAGCTTGCGTGTAATTTGCTTCATTAATTTGAATATGTCGCAATAATAATTCAGCTTCGCCAGTAACGCTCGTTTTTAAATAGTGTAATTTCTGCACGCCGCTAATTGTGTTATTCCGATCCACTAGTGAAATAAATAAATCTTGAAACGTAGGCCACGCTTCATAATTCCCACTAAATTTCGGTATTTCTATACGCGGTAATTTCACTTCTGGGGATTGTGTAGTTGAAGATGTATAGTGTGTTTCTTGTCTCGTTGATTTTTGTTGCGATTCAATTGTAAACAACAAATCTTTCATATCAGATTTCGCTTGCATAGCTTGTTCTTCACAAATAAAGTACTGGTTTTGTTCAAAGTAAGGCAATAATTTCCGTTGTTCTTTTGTCACACTTTTCATTAATGTAGTATGTGCGAGACGAAACTGATTCCAATATTCTTCAACAGATTGTAATTTCACTGTCACATAACCACGTGTAAGCCGCACCTTTGGGCATTTCTTAAAGTTCTCGTACGTTTTCGCAATAAGACGATATAAATCTTCTAATTCACATAAAGTTTGTTCTACGATTTCCATGGTTATTTATCAATCCTTATGCGTAAAAATACAATCACTGTGTAGCTTGTATGTCCAGCAACGCCATTTAAATAATCTTGAAGTGAAATTCCGATGATAAAATGTCCAAAATCCGCAAAATAACGATCAAATCCAAAGTTATAAAATAATATTCTTCACTCGTAAACAACTTTCAATCTTCA